TCTGATTTTCTTCCCTGCCGCGTCGCACCCGCGGCGCTCACTCACCTCCCTCTTCCCCTTCTCCCTCTTCCTCTCCTCACCCACAGGCAACACCTGCACGGCACGTGCATGAGACACGCGTCTACATACAGCCGCACGCGTGCACACACTCGCACGCATACCATACAAAGCTAGTGCACGCCTGTCGTGTTCACTGCTTCATACACCCACGACTGCATCATGGGCACACACACACATGAGCCACACGTCCCGAGACTGCCGCACACGCATCATACACATACGCATGACATGCCATATGCAAGACGTGCGTGTAGGATTCCCAGTGTATGGCAGGAGGCTCTATGCGGGCCATGGCGCAAAGCACGGCAGGCGTGGCACTTTCTCGTCACCAGAAGCGGTGCCCAGGGGGTGGTCTCTGAGCGCGGTCACTATCCGAGCCGGTCGTCCAGGGCATAGCAGGCGTGGCACTTTCTCGTCACCAGAGGGTGTGCGCAGGGGGTGGTCCCTCAGCGCGGTCTCTATACGCGGCAATGTCGCAGGGCCTAGCAAGCGTTGCATTTTCTCGGCACCAAGCGGGGTGCGCAGGAGGTGGTCCCTCAGCACGGTTTCTATACGCGCCAATGTCGCAGGGCTTCGCAGGCGTGGCACTTTCTCGACACCAGATGGGGGTGCGCAGGGGGTGGTCCTTCAGCGCGGTCTCTATACGCGCCAAGCTCGCAGGGCCTAGCAGGCGTGCCACTTTCTCGACACTGGAGGGGGTGCGCAGGGGGTGGTCCGTCACCGCGGCTTCCATACGCGCCAGTGTCGCAAAGCCTAGCAGGCGTGGCACTCATTCGACACCGGAGGCGGTGCGCAGGGGGTGGTCCCTCAGCGCGGTCTCTATACGCGCCCTTGTCGCAAAGCCTAGCAGGGTTGGCACTTTCTCGACACCAGAAGGGGTGCGCAGGGGGTGGTCCCTCAGCGCGGTCTCTATACGCGCCAATGTCGCAGAGCCTAGCAGGCGTGGCATTTTCTCACAACCAGAGGGGGTGCGCAGGAGATGGTCCCTCAGCGCGGTCTCTATACGCGGCAATGTCGCAGGGCCTAGCAGGCGTGGCACTTTCTCGACACCAAAAGCGGTGCCCAGGCGGTGGTCCCTCACCGCGGTTTCCATACGCGCCAGTGTCGCAGAGCCTAGCAGGCGTGGCACTTTCTCGACACCACAGGGGGTACGCAGGGTGTGGTCCCTCAGCGCGGTCTCTATACGAGCCAATGTCGCAGGGCCCAGCAGGCGTGGCACTTTCTCGACACCAGAAAGGGTGCGCAGGGGGTGGTCCTTCACCGCGGTTTCCATACGCGCCAGATGTCGCAAGCCTAGCAGGTGTGGCACTATCTCGACGCCAAAGGGGGTTGCGCAGGAGGTGGTCCCTCAGCGCGGTCTCTATACGCGCCAATGTCGCAGGGCCTAACAGGAGTGGCACTTTCTCGACACCAGAAGCGGGGCCCAGGGGGTGGTCCGTCACCGCGGTTTCCGTACGCGCCAGTGTCGCAGAGCCTAGCAGGCGTGGCACTTTGTCGTCGCCAGAGGGGGTGCGCAGGGGGTGGTCCCTCAGCGCGGTGTCTATACGCGCCAATGTCGCAGGGCCTAGCAGGAGTGGCACTTTCTCGACGCCAAAGGGGGTTGCGCAGGGGGTGGTCCCTCACCGCGGTCTCCATACGCGGCAATGTCGCAGGGTCTAGCAGGCGTGCCACTTTCTCGACACCAGAAGCGGTGCCCATGGGGGTGGTCCCTCACCGCGGTTTCCATACGCGCCAGTGTCGCAGAGCCTAGCAGGCGTGGCACTTTCTCGACACCACAGGGGGTGCGCAGGGGCTGGTCCCTCAGCGCGGTCTCTATACGCGCCAGATGTCGCAGGGCCTAGCAGGCGTGGCGCTTTCTCGACACCGGAGGGGGGTTCGCAGGGGGTGCAGTCGCTACCCGTTTCGGCCTCGCAAAGCGTGGCAGGGGTGGCACTTCGTCGACGCCACAAAGGTTGGGCTGGGGGTGCGGTCGCTATGCGTTTCGGGCTCGCAACTAGTGGCAGGCGTGGCACTTTCTCGCTCCACAGGGGGTGCGCTGGGGGTGCAGGCGCTATCCGTTTCGGCCTCGCAAAGCGTGGCAGGCGTGGCACTTTCTCGACGCCACAAGGGGGTGCGCTGGGGGTGCGGTCGCTATCCGCTTCGGTCTCGCAAAGCGTGGCAGGCGTGACACTTCCTCAGCGCCACAGGGGGTGCGCTGGGGGTGCGGTCGCTATCCGCTTCGGCCTCGCAAAGCGTGGCAGGCGTGGCACTTTCTCGACGCCACAGGGGGTGCGCTGGGGGTGCGGTCGCTATCTGTTTCGGCCTCGCAAAGCGTGGCAGTCGTGGCACTTCCTCGACGCCACAGGGGTGCGCTGGGGGTGCGGTCGCTATGCGTTTCGGGCTCGCAACTAGTGGCAGGCGTGTCACTTTCTCGATGCCACACGGGGGTGCGCTGGGGGTGCAGGCGCTGTCCGTTTCGGGCTCGCAAAGCGTGGCAGACACTTCCTCGACGCCACAGGGGGTGCGCTGGGGGTGCGGTTGCTATCCGCTTCGGCCTCGCAAAGCGTGGCAGGCGTGGGACTTTCTCGACGCAGCAGGGGGTGCGCTGGGGGTGCGGTCGCTACCCGTTTCGGCCTCGCAAAGCGTGGCAGGCGTGGCACTTTCTCGACGCCACAAGGGGTGCGGTCGCTATCCGTTTCGGCCTTGCAGCTCTCCTCTTGACAGGCGTCACCAATGATATCGGCGGGGCAACGGCCACCAACATCATTCTCACATGCTCCAGTTTCCGCTATCATCACTCCAGCCATAATATAAGTATGTGGGGTTCCTCGGTAGCGTAATTGTTTGGTGCTTGGCCAATCTTTGCAATGAGCGTCCTCTGCGACAAGCGGCGATCTGCGGCAGCGCGCGAGTCTCCAGGTCGTCGAGGCCGGCGAACCCGATGTGCTGGCAAACTCTCTTGGGCGCCTGGGCCCAAGGGGCAGCCTTGCGGCCAGCGCAAGGTCCTTGCCAGCACGCCGTGGCGCTAGCAGGCTGGCCCTCAGCAGGTGCGCCACTGTGCCGCTGCCGCAGCAGCGCAGCAGCAGGGCCGCTGCTCTGGGCGGCGGGCGCGGCGGCTTCCCCGCAGCGCGCCGCAGTGCAGGGCGACTCGCCAGCCGACGCTCTCGTCAGGGGTCCCCTGCGTGGGTCGGCGGCGAGCGATGGGGGGGGAAGCGAGAAGGGGCGGGCCTTCTCAGAAGGCTCGGAACCCCCTCGGAATTCTGAGCAGTTTTCTAGGCGTTCCCCGAGGACAGGAAAATCCTCTCAGAAGGCGCGAGGGCTTCTGAGAAGTCCCGCCGCCTTCTGAGAAGGCCTTTGCCTTCTCGCTTCCCTCCCTTGCTCGCCGCCGAGTGGGGGGCAGCGGCCGCAAGTGCGACCTCGAAGGTTTCACTGCTCCTCGAGGCCGACGGGGCGGCCCGCGGCGGGTGACCAAACGTGCGCCTTGTGCGCCTGCAGCTCTGGCCCGATCCTCACCGGCTCGTTCTACCCTGGTCGCGGCCGCGGGCTCTTGCAACCTGCGTCCGCGTGAAAGGAATGGCAGCGATGGCCACCGATGGTGGGATAGGATGATGAGGCGAGACAAGCGCAGACAACGCGTTGGACACCGCGCAATCTTCTAGTTCCTGCCCTCGTTTTCCGCCTCCTCTTCCTTCTCCTCCTCCTCCTCCTCCTCCTCCTCCTCCTCCTCCTCCTCTACTTCCCATCGTTGCTCTGCTTTGTCAACCAAAGGCGGCGCGCTCACAACACACCTCTGGTACAACACAACGCCAGTCAGGACATCTAGTGCAGCGTCGTATCGTAGCAGCTCTCGGCCTCCCTAGACAACTCGTGCTCCTGAGGCCCTGCAAGGTCTCCAATGGTTTGGGCCTCCTGCCAACACGTCTTCACACACTGATCGCTTCATCGTCTAGATGCAAATTTGCGCCCAGACTGGCCACCATTATGTTCAGCTGGGCCGGCCATCTAGTACAACACGGCATTCGCCAAATCAGCGCCGCCGCGGGCAGATTTGCTCGGCCATGTCACCCGCCACATCGACAGTACCAGGGGCTGGCTCTGGTCTAACCTGCACACATCACTGCGCATCGATGTTACGACAAGGCATTGTTGCCAAATATGTTGAGCCATAACTGGGACTAGCTTCGCGCACGAATCCAAGACGTTGCGTAGCTTATAACGACCTGGCTCAGGTGTGCTCATGATGCCACTTTTTGGTTTGGCATTTCGGGGAGAACACATGTGATCAGCTTATCAGGCTCCTTCCTCCGCCCTCCTCCTCCTTCCTCCCTCGTCCTACTCCGCCTCCTACACCACTCTCACATCAGCCTCGCCATGAAACCTGCGGCTCTGTTTCGCTTTTTGCAGCTGCCCGAAACGTGTGCGTCATATCTAGACTCTTTAGTGCTTTTGTGCACGACTATCTTCAGAGGCTCATCCACCTCTGAATGTTCATGCTCCATTGTTTCCTCCTGATGCACGCGATGCTTCTCCATTCAACTTTCGCTCGCTTGTGTTTTATTTCCGACACAAAGGACCAGTGCGGTTCAACGCCAGCTAGAAGAAGTAGTACATGATGTTGTGAAGGACGAGATAGGGCTTGGTTCTTGGTCGATGTTGAACCAGACGTGTACCGAAACGCCACTGGGCCGACGAGAGCACGCGGTGCCTCCACGCGAGGAGGTGCTTCTGGCACTTGGGGTTGGCGACGAGATCTTACATGAGGGGTGCCCTCACCTCCCCCTCCTCCTTCTCCTCCTTGTCCTCCTCGTCCTCCTCCTCCTCCTCGTCCTCCTCGTCTTCCTCCTCCTCCTCCTCCTCCTCACCTTCCCCTCTCCTCCTCCTCCTCCTCCTCCTGCTCCTCCTCCCCTCTTCTCCGCAGTTGGTACTCCCCCCGACTTTCGGATCTTTCGGTGCGCTCAGTCCTCCGTGTCCCCGAAGGCGAACGACGAGCGGTGGTGCGCGAATGCGAACAAACAGAACTCCACGTCCAGGTCATACCTGGCCGAGACTGGACCGCTGGACTGGGCCGCATCCTCTGTGGCCAGCTCCACCATCTTCCGGGCATGGATCCTCGCACCCCTGGTGAAAGGTCGCTTGCTCGCGAGGTTCAAGCTGCTGGCTTTTCGCACCTGGTCAAATCCGCCAGCTGCACTTTCGGCGCGCTGCCAGACTTGCACCAGTGGCACGCGCCCCCTCGCCTGCACCCCCCCCCGGAGGTAGACCTCGAGCTCCACTGCCCCCTGCGCGAGCCCCTGCGAGTCCACCAGGAGGCACAAATGCTGGGCCACCTCCACGTTGAACTCCTGCCGGTCCGCGTTCACCTTGGCGACGAGCGCCTCGTCCAGCTGCAGCATCGAGGCGATGCGCCCCAGCGCGAACCCCTCCTCGAAGAGCGCCTGCACCGCGGCAGCGGTGCTCTCCGGCACGCTGACGTGTTCCTTCCAGGCCTCATCGCGTGGCGCGAAGGGCGCGCTGCTCACGTCGGGCCCCAGGGAGGCGCGCAGGTGGAAGTCTGTGAGCTGCGCGGGAGGCCCGGGCGGCGGCAGGCGGCCCTTCATGACGGTGCAGACCAGCAGAGCGACGTGCCGCCCTGGCAGGTCGCCGCCCAAACTCAGCGAGGAGGAGCGCGTCGCGGAACGCGCAGAAGGCACCCGGTTGCTGCGCACCTCGGGGAGCGGCACCCGACCCGAGGCCTGGGCGGTGGAGGTCCCCGGGACAAGCTCGCTGGAGCCGATCCTGGGGCTCTGCTGCTGCTGCTGCGGACGGGCTGCCACGCCCGCCGCTTCCAGCACTTTCTTTGCGTCCGCGTGCAGCTCGAACATCGCCGTCAGTAGCCGGACCTGGCCCAACTGCTCTGGGCCGCCTGCACTGGCTGGAGACACCGCGCCCAGCGTGGCGCCCACGACGTCGGGGCCTTCCGGGCTGTGCATCGGGAGGCTGAGGGGCTCTTCGAAAGCATTGCGAAAGAGCTGGTGTACCTCCCGGGCCTCGGACCGGCATACGAGCCTGTCGTGGCCCAGCTGGCGCTCCCAGACCTCGACGCAGAAGCGCTGCTTAACGTCGTAGACGAGGAGATCGCACGCGCCGCACGGGCCCTGTGGAAGGACGCCCTCCTCTGGAAGCACAAACAATGACACAAACATAACTTTTCGGAGGTCCGTGCGGATTTCCTGGATCGGCGCTGGACCCCTCTGCCTGGCGCGCGGAGCGCGCCAGGGGCGGCGCCCGAGGCGCCGCCATGGGGGCTCCAGCGCCGACCCGAGCAATCCGCGCAGACCTCCGGACATCTCATCGTGTCTACGCCACCGTTTGCTCCCCGATCCTCAGGCTCCGATTCGGACGCGCTGGCGGCGGCGTCCGCGGGCGGCGGCCCAGCGCGCCGGCTGCCGCCGCCCACGCAGAACACCACGTGCCTGCTGGGCCCCAGCCCCCCACGGCCGCCGCGGCCCCGCGCGGCGCGGGCGCCGCAGAGCGTCACGCTCGAGAGCCCGGGCAGCCGCAGCCGCTCCGGCGGGAGCCCCCGGAGCTCAACCACGAGCACGCGCAGCACGGCGCAGGGGAGCGTGCCGGACCAAGAGCCGGTGGGGTCGCCGCAGGCGAGGGCCTCGGGCATCCAGTTGGCGCTGAAGCGGTGCGGCAGCACCATCGCGTCGGAGAAGGCCCTCACGAAGGCCGCCTCGATGGCGGAGCGGACGAGGGCGAGGTTGGCGAGGTTGGCGAACATCCTGTGCCCGGAGAACTCCATGCGCACCTCTGGGGGGTTCAGGAAGAAGAGGTGCACACCGCCAACGATGGGCACCGAGTCGACGAGGGGATCGAACAGCACCGAGAGGGTGCCGCTCATCGAGAGCCTGGAGACGCCGTGGCTGGATGTCCCGACGTTGATCACGATGTCCGTGTCCCCCCTGTACCGCATGCAGATGTCCAGCTGCAGGCCTGTGCGCTCGCCCGAGCGCTCGCTGGACAGCACGGGGCCCAGGTCGGGTGCCGCGCCGAGGGAGAACTTGGACATCCTCACCTCCCCGAGCTGTGGTGGGATCTTCTCTCGCAGCACGGTCTCCACTGTGCTGCTCATCACCTTCTCGAGCGCGGACTCGATGTATGGCCAGAGCCTCTCCATGCACCACGTCAGCCACCGGACCTCGAATGTGCCCGATATGTCCTTGATCGACGGCGGTCGGAGTTTCAGCAACTGCCCAAGACCCTCGAGCTGGGCATGCCCCGCATCCAGGTCGGAGCGGCCGCCCAAAGTCCCGTAGTCCATCTGCTCGTCGACCTCGAAGTACAGCTGCATCTCAAACGTCTTGCTGTAGCTTCGCAGGCTCGGGGCCCTGCAACCCTTGTCCATGTCGAAGATGGGCAGCGAGACCACGATGCTGCTCCTCGCGGTGTCCGCGTGGAAGTTGCGATTGGACCTCAGGCTGGCGCTCTGCCGTGTGTTCCGCGAGACTTCGAGGAAGGACGTGTGCAGCCACGCCGCCATCAGCAGCTGCGTGCTCTCGCCGCTCTGCTGGTCCACCAGGCGGTGCACCTCGACGCACGTCTCCCCGGCCAGCACCAGCTCGTGCAGGTGCCACACCACCAGGTCCGAGGCCACGCCGTGCTCGCCCGAGAAGGAGCTGACGTGGTCGGGCTCCAGGGTGTCCAACAACGGCGGCCCGGCCTGCCGCTGACAGCCGGACAGGAAGGAGTCAAACTCCTGCGCGTCTCGCTCGTCCATCGCCTGCTGCACCATGTCCTCCTCGTGCATCATGAACAGCACCTCGTCAAGCCCGCCCGTGCCTGCGGAGCTCCACTTGTTCGTTGACATGCTGCCGGACCGAGGAAAGGTGTCGCCAACGGCGCTGGCCGGAGGCCTCAGAGAGGTCCTGCCTGGGTGCGCGAACACCTTCACCACCAGATTTGGGGCCGCCTCGGGATCGATGCCCAGCAGCTTGACCGTGCGCAGCCGCGCCCGGCGTGGAGGGCTCGGCACGCCGTGGAGCTCGTGCGCGCAGATGGTGAAGTATTCGACGAACCGCTGCTGCGACGGGCAGTCGAAGGCCTGGACGAGGCTACCCGAGCCCTCCTCGGTGCACGCGCGCTCGAAGAAGTTGACCGCCTCGTCGGCATTGTCCTTCTCGCCCTTGTAGAGGAGCCAAGCGCAAGCCAGCATACTCACGCGCCCGAGCCCCAGCCCGCTGTGTACCGCTATGACGTTCCTGCTGTCTCGCTCCAAGAACTCCTTCACCACCTCACATGCGTCCCAAAGGTCGCTCAGCCTGGGCACGCCCGTCTCCCGGACGGGGAGCAGGAGGACGCGTTGCAGAAAATCTTCGGCGGGATAGTCACACTGCTCCGTAGCGTTCACGATCACGAATCTGTCGCGGTGCACCGTGCGGAAGAACCGCGCGACCTCGTCTTCCGGGTTGTTGAAGAAGGCGTCCGTCCCAAGGGCTGGCCTACCCATCGTGATGAACTGGGCCAGGACGTAGCACAAATCCAGATCGAAGCCCTGCTTCCGATACCGCCGCCGGAGGCCGCTGACCTTCTGGTGGCAACTCGTGGGGGCCTCCCACAGCATCTTGCTGTCTCTTGCGATGCGACGCTGTCCGACGCTAGTCGACGCTGATCAGCGCTAGATCAGTGCTAGTCGACGCGAATCGGCGCCAAATCGAAGCTCATCGACGCTAAGCCGGCGCTTTCTGATCGAGTGCCAGGCGCTAGCGCAGGGTCATGCACACTAGAGACCGAGTTGCGAGGGCATACGAAGCCCCCCAAGAGTTAAAAGGAGCAAGACTCGGCATAAGCACAATTTCTCTGAGGTGCGCGCGGGTTCCGTCGACCGGCGCTGGAACTCCCTCCCTGGCGCGCGGAGCGCGCCAAGGGCGGCCGCACGGGGGGGCGCTGCCCCGCGGTCCGAATAAGAGTTGCGGCGCTGCCTGTTGAGTGTCTTCGTGTTTGACCCAGCGTCATGCCATACCTACGTCCTTGTGTGCCCAGCTGTACACAGCTCACTGTCTCAAAGAGGCTTGCGGATTTGGGCAGGGAAGCATGTCCGCAGCGAAGGGCAAGCAAGCATTGCCGCAAACATCTTTTGGACTGTGATTGACTCGTCGTGCGCCGATCCAAGAGACCCGCGCGGAGGAGGAGAAGAGGAGGGAGGAGGAGGCGGAGGAGGAGGAGGAGGAGGAGGAGGAGGAGGAGGAGGAGGAGGAGGAGGAGGAGGAGGAGGAGGCCCTGGAGTCGGCGGTACCTCGCCGAGAGAGACTGGCGAGGCGCCCCCGGCGGCAGATCCGCACGCTCCTGTGCATGGGGGGGGGCTGACTGTCAGACCCCCGTCGGCGATCGGTGCGCGATTGGGGTCGACGCGTCCCTTCCCCCCCTGTGCCATGCCGCCTGTAGTAGGGGCTCGACCACAAGAAACCTTCCACAAGAAACCCGGCCCTGAGGCCCCAGGACGTCCCTTGCTTTCGGGTGCGGGCACGCCACGCCTTCCACAGCAAAGCCATCGAAACCCAAGAAACCCAGGGCTCCCTGGAGGCAGGCAGGGTGTTTCTTGGCATGGGCCTCCACTGTATGCCATGCCCAACCCCCCCCTTGCCTTTGCCCCTGAATGCATCGCTCCCCCAGTACGCGGCGCCCAGCGACCTGGAGCAAATGCTGTCCGAAACCGACAGCGGCCGCTGCAGGGCAGGCGGCCTTCCGTCTCGGACGGACCACGACCGCGGCGACGCCGACAGCGAACACCCTGCCCAAATGAACTGGAAATGCTGCTGGTCTTCGTGCCCAGTCTTTCCCTACCCGTTCCGATCATCCTTAGGTCGGGCCTGTCCTCCTACAGGGGGATTTGGGACGAAAGATCCAAAATACCACACATACACCCCCAGAATGCTCAAACATAGTCAAAACATCGCCCCCCGACTATTTTTTGGGACTACTTTTGAGTATTCCCCCTGTAGGGGGACAGGCCCGACTTCAGATCACCCCGACCAGTGGCCTGGAGCTGCAGGTGCGCCCGGAACTGGCGCACCCGGGCGACTCCGCGGGTGGCCTTGAGCACCACGCTGCACCCGCGCACGACGGGCCGGAGCGCCCGCAGGACCGCCCAGCCCTGCCCCATGTCGCCGCTCCCGCCCCGCCCGCGCACGAGCAGCTCGCCCGTCGCCAGGAGAACGAGGGTCACCTCTGTGCAGCGGGGCCCAGGGACACACACACACAGAGAAATACACACACACACACACGAGTCCCCGCATTCCCAACCTTTGGATATTTTCTGGACTCTCGTTTCCCCCCTCCACGTCCCGTATTTTCCAATGTTTTCATGAGGATCGACACTTATTCCCCAATCAGTGCTTGCACTGAAGGGGTCCTAGCGGATCTTGAAGGATTTGGCGAAAGTAGGCGGCCGATTTCGGTGGGCCGCCAGGTTCCCAAGTTCCCAGTTCCGGGTTCCTGGGTTCCCGCTTCCGAGTTCTTGGTTCCCGGGTTCCCGTTCCACATTCCCGATCGCGGGTTCCCGGGTTCCCCGGTTCCAGCTTCACGGGTTCCCTATTCCGGTCCGATTTCGCTAGGCGGCGGGGTTCCCAAGTTTCAGGGTTCCAGGGTTTCTGGTCGATCTCCTTATCGATCGGTCTCACCATCGATTTCATTACCCACCTCTCTATCGATCCCACGATCGATCTCACAATCGATCTGGCTATCGATCTAACTATAGATCGCACGAGCGACTTCACGATCGATCTCAATCTGGCTCTCACGGAATCGAGTTCACTATCGGTCTCACGATCGGCCTCAGGATCGTCCTCACGATCGATCCCACTTTCGATCCTACAATCGATCTCAATGCCCACATCATTCATGTTCAAAACATCCACTGATGGTTTTTTTCTCTGGTATACTTTGTGTCAGGTCTACTTTTCTCTCCCGATCTTGGCGTGGGCGCTCGACCGCTGCTCTCTACGGTCGTACACCCCATGAGAAGTGCATAGCGAGTGAAGATGCAAAGCTCTCCAAAAATGCAGAAGCACGGTCTCCCGAACCTGCCAAACACGTGAATGCCGCCTCAGGGGCGTGGCCGGCGGCAATGCTGGCGTTGGCCTTCAAGGGGCCACAGCACCTGCCCATGGCACGTCCTAAAGAAGGGGGTCGATTAGTGGACGCATGCCCATCCCAAGCCACCTCGAACAAGTTCAGGAGCGAGTGCGTGAACGCCGCGCCGAGGAAGAAAATGCGCATGGACACTTCCGCGCCGAGGACTGCGACCACGGACCAGTCGAACACGAGCAGCACCTCGGACTGGAGGCCAGGCTCCTCGGGCCTGGACCCGAGGCCGTGCACGAAGGAGTACAGCGTTGCGACCACGTCCAGCAGGATGACGACGGTGATCGCGGCCTGCACGGGGGTCGACAGCACGAACTTCCCGACCCCGTTGCGCGGCCGGGCCAGGAAGGCCAGCTCGGGCAGCAAGGGCACCCGGGAGGGCCTCCTGCAAACGGCCTTGAACCTCCTCCAAATGATGCCCCACCTTCCAGGAAGAGAAGAAGGAGGAGGAGGAGGAGGAGGAGGAGGAGGAGGAGGAGGAGGAGGAGGAGGAGGAGGAGGGAGGAGGAGGAAGGAGGAGGGAGAAGGGGGGAGGAGGAGGAGGAGGAGGAGGGGAGAAGGAGGAGAGGAGGAGGAGGAGGAGGAAGAGGAAGGAAGGAGGAGGAGGAGGAGGAGGAGGAGGAGGAGGAGGAAGGGAATAGGAGGAGGAGGAGGAGGAGGAGGAGGAGGAGGAGGAGGAGGAGGAGGAGGAGGAGGAGGAGGAGGAGGAGGAGGAGGAGGAGGAAGAGGAGGGGTCAACCAACATCGAATCGGGAAGCCGGACCGAGTCAGAACGTGTATCGTATCTGGCCGCATCGGCACGTAGGCGGAATCGAATCTGACCAGGGCCGGCCGGAATCGATGTGCATCTATGTCTGTATATGCATCTGTAAGTGCATACGTGTATATAGACATGCGCATCGCCCGCCCAGATATGTCGGATTGGATCGACACATGAGCCCTGCCTCTGGGCGGATTGCAGCCCCAGACGTCCGAGTATCTGTGTTTTGTTACGACCATCCTGTGGTGTTGTGCCCTCGTGCTGAATCCGCAGCGCCCCGCGTCTCACTCACTCCTTTCTCCTCCGCCTCCTCCATTCTTCCCCTCCTTGCACCTGCTCCCCGTATATCGTCGGCGCCCTGACCCCATAGAGAGCTCCACGGAAGGCCCCAAAGGCAGGGTCGCCTGGCGGCGCCGCCTCCATCGCAGCAAGCCCCTCACACGCTTTGTGGCCCCCTGGGGGAGCTCCAGCGACGGCCCCAGGTGGCAGGGTTCGCATGGCGGCCCGCACTTAGTTCCGAACGGGCCGTCACGAGTTTCGTGGCCCCGCATGGAGCTGCCCCTCCTACGTCCTACCTGCC